ACACCGGGCCAGCTGCTCGCTGTGCTGCCCTGCTGGCAGCAAGCGAGGTAAAACGTTCTGGCATTTACCTACCTGGTTTTTAGCCTGCCTGTACAGAGTCTGTTTTATTGTCTCAGAGTCTAAGGTGGAATTAAACACATCTTTAACTTCAAATGCTTCCTCGGCTGCTTTGCGAAGATCCAGCCCCTTCCCAAAATTCGGCATCTGCTCCAAATCTAACAAGCCGGCTTCGTCCTCCTCAATACACCTGTACCAAGGACCAGGGAAGGGTTGACCTGTTAGCTCATCCCACCATTCCCACCTATCCCATGCGAGTGCTGCTTCCCCAGGCCCTGCATGCACCATCCAGGGGGGCTCACAAGCCACATGCGTGAAGGGACAGACGGACAGACAGGGAAATGACACAGAATGAGCACAGAGTGGAGAGCAGGGCTACACACAAACAAGCCTTAGTGCTGGAGGGATTTGTGATTCAGCGTGGCTACCATTCACCTTGGTCTCCTGCACGGAGATGTCCTGGACATGCCTGACCCTGTGTAAGGGGCACTGCTGCACTTGCTTGGAGTTGCAATGAGAAGAGGGATGTAAGGAAGATACTGCTTGGCACCATGGGACACTTGTTAGAAACACCAGCTGGGAAACCGAGGCAAGAATAAAGCTAAGCCTACACTGTGTGAAAGAGGGTCACATCTTAAAGGTGTCTAGACATGGCTTGGAGACCAAAAAAACCCCTTTACTCTTTCCCAGAGCTCTGAGAAGTCCCCACTGGAAGTCAATAACTTTTTGGGTAGAACAGCACAAACCAGAGAGCACAGTGTGGTGCCTCCTGCTGTGCCCTGTGCAGAGCTCCAGAGAGATGCTACCTGCTGAGCTGTGGTCCTCTGAAAGTGCTGCTTTCTGTGCTGGACTAACTGTCCTCCTGATAAGAACACCCCAAGTCTTGGATGTACACCTGACCACAGATTCTCCTTGCAGTCCACTTGTTTCCTGTCCCCCAGCCCATGGTGAAAATGGAATCTCAAGTGAATGCTTCAGTCAGACTGGAGGTATGATACATGGCTTGAAGAACAAAACAGTTGCACTCACAATCTACCACAGGCTCAGAAATCTGAGCCCCATTTGGCTTCTCACTGGGAATGATCCCCCTCACCTTCGGGTGTGGTCAAAGCTCATGGTGAGAGACGTGGGCTCTTCATCCTCCTCATCCTCAAACGGTCCTCGGGGCTCTGCAGTGGGTGATACTGTTTCATCCTGGGACTTCCCTGTCAGGCTGTCATCATCTTCCTCTTCCAGTTCTTCATCTTCATCATCCACGTCTTCTGTTTTCTCATTTGCTAATCCATGACACTGGGAATTGCCATCAATGTCCTGGATTTCTGGCCTGAAATATTTGGTCAAAGGGACAGAAGAAAGCAAAAAAGAAAGATGTCAAATGTGTAACTCGTGCATTTCCCCCTAATGCACAAATCTGATCATTGCACACAGACCCATGGACAGAGATGTATTTACAGGCACATACATATTCAACTGCAAGGAAAAGGAAAACCAACATGTTTCAGGCATTTAAAAAAATCAGCCTTCACAGTGTCTTAAGAGCTCATAAGCATGTCAAGGACATACCAACCCAAATGCTTTTCAAACCAGGATTTTGTCTAGTCTGGAGTTAATAGACTAGAAAAGCAGGTGCCTGGGTTCCCTGCATCTGAGCTCTCTGGCCCTGCTGGAACAGGCCACGTGGCTTCGTGGCAGAGGGTAATGGCTCAATCATCACATTTTTAGCTAGAGAAGAAACTGCATTTTCTCCCAGCTATTGTGCTGAGCCCAGGGCAGCATCCAGCCCACCCTCTCCTGCCAGGGGCCCTGCTGGGTTCCCCCGCAGGGGGCACCCATGTCTCCCAGGGTCCCTGACTCTCTGGGCTCAGCCCTCCCAACTCCAGTCCAGTCTGAAGACACAACACTGGGCTCAGAGCTTCAAGTTGAACACACTTTCTCTGCAGACTGTTACATTGCTCTCTTGTGAGGGTTCTAAATCAAGCACTGCAGGACAGAGGCTGACTAGGCTTTCAACTGAGTTAACATGTCACCAAGTGACATCTTATTTGCTTGGTTACCTTTTATCTGCTAAAGTTGATGCTTGATTCATCTCACTATTTGCAATAAAATTTCTGATTTCAGAGAAATACGAATCTTCTTTTTCATCTAAAAGTGCATGGTTGTCTGACTCCGAGTTTGGGGAAGAGGCACTGGTCCCAAGGTGGTTTGTGATGACTCCGGAGTGCTGGCTCACTGGGGGAGAAGAGAGCAGGAGAAACAAGATAGTGTCAGAGCTCTTATCAAGGAGAAACTCAAAGGAGGAACATTATGCAACAATCCTCTCACTATATATTAATGATTTAACATCCAGGAGAAATCTCGTGCACCAAAGCTGCCAAAGGAAGCTCCTGGTTTAACTACAGTATTTAGCACTTCTGGGTGGTATATGCATTTTAACAACCACTACCCGTTCCAAAGCTCTTTGACTAATATTTTCCCATATTTTTCCTCACCCCCCAGGGCTGGGATATCACTTAGTTGGCTTCAGCACAAGAATTTCTTCCTTCACTTTTTTATCATAAGGCAAAATCATCTTGAACTTCACACCTTCCTACAAACGCACCTTGGGTTGGAACGCTGGGCAGGGCTGGACGTGTCCCCATCAGCACAGCAGAGGCACAGCCCATCAGGTGAGGTTCTGCTCCCTGGACAGAGTCCCCAGGAAGTTAGCACCACCAGGGCTACTTCATGGATGGGAAAAGGGCACATGGCACCTGAGAAGAGCCTGGCAGGGCTGAGCGTGTGCAGGAGTTACACACTGTGGGTAAATGCAGCTTCAGCTGTACACGGAGCTGCCCTTGGGCTTTTGCTCCCTAGTGCTATTTAGCCTTAAGGATCAGTGCTTCCCACGCAGACTTCCCAAGGACCAGAGCACAGTGTCTTCTCCCTGCAGTGCCCCAACAGCACCTCCCAGCCGTGCCCCTTCCTACCTGGAACGTTCTCGTGCTCGTGTTTCTTCAGGTGCCGGTCCAGGTTGGTCTGTTGCCCGAAGCAGCGGTTGCACAAGTGACACTTGAACGGCTTCTCCTTGTTATGGATGTTCCGGACGTGCCGCTGGAGGTTGGAGGAAATGCTGAATGACCTGTCACAGTATTTACACCTGAAAAATACAAGCAAGTGACGAGTGCAATGTGAGGGGGAAGGGGAAAAAAAACAACCCAAAAACCCCACTAAAAAGAAAAATCTGACTATCAGAAACCCAGAAAATGTTGGTCTATAAATCTTTACTCAGCCAAGGAGCTAAGAAACATGGAGCATTAATCATTCCAGACAAATCTGATATTCTTGTTACTCAAGGAGCACAAGGAAAGGAGTAGGATTAATTAAGAAGCAACTCGTCCAAACAAATCAGGATTTTAAACAAAATAATTACTTTTCCACACATGAATGTGAAAATAAGAACAGTGGATTTATTTCTTCCCCCCTTCTTCTTTTGTAGGGGAAGTAGGTGAAATATGGCTGTGGAGGGAGGAAAAGGAAGACAGAAGGAGAAGAAAGACAGGAGGCTACATGCATAAAATAGTTATTAGCATATCCCTACATGACACAGTTATCTGGACATACCAAAACCTCCAGATTTATTTGTGCAGTTCCTGGTGCTACTCGAGCTGTAGGCAGCACAGCCTGCCTTGCCAGGCAATCATGGTTATTTTTATAGTACAATAGCTCCCAAGAAATACACTGTCATTTCCAAACAGGATAAGATTTACTCCTATGTAGTGAGTATCTGGTTTATGGATGAAAAAATGTGGAATGTAAGGAGCCAAGCCAGAATGTTTAGGGAAACTGCTGAGTGAAGAAATGTTCTCTCTTTGAAACAAACCTCTGCAGGACCCATGGTAGATGTCTTGGAAGCTTGTTCAAAGCTGCCACCCCTCCCTCCCTGGATTCAGATTCTCTCCAAATAAAAACAAGGCTTTGCTAAACCGGGTTCCTTTCCCACTTCAGCCTCTCTCCTCTCGCAGCCCCTGGACTGAAGAGGGCAGCTTCGAGCCGCAGTCAAGAGCTTCGGTCCTAAAGCTACAGGAAATCGAATTCCTCTTTGAATGCACCCGAATCCCTCATTAGATCTCCCTCGAAACACGTCAGTTGTACCTCAGACAAAGCTGCTTTCCTCACGGCTCTGCCTCCAAAACCCAGGAGCAAGAGAATCCTTTCTCTGCACCCACCTCCGTGAATTCCCTGCACTTACAGGACAAACCCAAAACTTCTTAAACCCTCCTAATTCCAGAACAAACCCACTTGCTTCAGCAGAACTGCCCTGAGCTCCTCTAAGCAGAGCAACATTGGTCCTGCCGAGCTGAGCTCCTGGTCGTGAGATGGGAAGATGCTGGTGCCTTTCTGCACCCCTTGGGAACGCCAGGGGTGCATCCCTTGAGAGGACACATGGACCTGACCCTGTGCTGGGGCCCTGACACACAGACCTGACCTATTTCAGTGTGAAACTGGATTTGGCAGGATGCTGAGGACAGAGCATTGTCCCCTACAAACACAACAGGTTCAAACGCAGGAGGGAGGTGTGAGTGCAAACGATCTCTGCTGTGAAACACACACGCTGTTTCCAGATGTGCTACAGCTGTGATTTTTCCTTGGGCTCTAAAAATAAATTGATATTATTTTTGGAAATAGCAGATGCATTTATGAAACACTCTCTCTCACTGAATGTTTATGGATTCCATGTCCACCCCTGAATTTCCTACTGTTAAATCACCAAAAAGAATTAAGATATTTCAAATAACAAACCCTTGTTATGACTAACGTAGGAAGAAGCAACATCTTTTAAAATCAGTTTTCTCAGTCTTCTGAAGTTTTTCATTGTTTCAAAAAAACATGAATTGAACAACTCAAGACAGGATTTGAACTTCAGCATGAACAAGCTCAGTTCATACACAGAGAGATAAAGACACACAGATTTGCAGCTCTTATTCCCCTCCTGTCTGCTGCCAGCCCTGAGCCTGCTCCCCAGAGCTGCCAGGCTTCAGCAGCTCCTGCTCTTCAGCGCTGCAGGAAATGGAAATGCCCAGAACAGCTACTGCCCCAGTATCCTAGCTATCCCACAGAACTTCATAAGAATGGTTTGAGCTGGAAGGGATTTTAAAGATTACCTAGTTCCACCCCCCTGCCATGGGCAGGGACACCTCCCAGCAGCCCAGGTTGCTCCAAGCCCCATCCAACCTGCCCTTCAACACTGCCAGGGATGGGGCAGCCACAGCTTCCCTGGGCAACCTGGGCCAGGCTCTCACCGCCCTCCCACTACTGAATTTCCTCCTCATGTCCAACCTAAAACTCCCCTCTTCCAGCTTCCATCCATTACCTCTTGTCCTCTCACTACAAGCCCTAGAAAGAAGCCCCTCCCCAGCTTTCCTGGAGCCCCTGTAGGTACTGGAAGTTTTGCCCAGCTCAGTTCTGCTGGTACCAGCAGCCCCCTCCTCCTTTCTGCTGAGGGTTCCCTCCCTGCCCACCCTCAACACCTCAATATCCTCATAAACCAAACTCTCCTTCCCCCGTGGCTGCCCAGGGCCTGGCACAGGGCTCTGCTTAGCCCAGGGCTGCCCGGTGCCCCCCTCAGATCCCCCCATCACTCACACCCAGTGACTTCAAAGGGAGGTTTGCGTGCGCCGGGCAGGAGCGCCCCGGCCTCCGGGACGTCAGCTCATTTAGATGTTCAGGAAGTCTTTGAAAAGTTCCCTTTGACAGGTCCTCACTCTAACTATGAGCTATGTGGAACCAGGTTAGGGTAGGGAGAAAGGATAAAGAGCTTGTTAAAAAAATAGGAAACAGAGGGGCTTTGGAAAGGAGCAAGAGCTCATGTCTGAAAGCAGAGGGATGAGGGAGACGTCCCGTGTTATTTGTGGTCCCAGAGGGGTCGGTACTCAGATCTCTGCTGGTTTCAATCTAAATAAATGACACAGACAGAGGAACCAGCTTAAATTCAGGGAAGAGGTGAACACAGAGGCAGGAGAAGAATAAAACTCAAAAGAAAGGGTATTTGCTTTGTAAACACACTGACAAAAAGCAAGTAAAGTTCCTTCCTTATCAGTTTCAAGTAACACACCCGTGAGCTAAAAACTAGAAAGTGAAAGAGAGCAAAGGAGGAGGCAAAGCTGGGACTGGGGAGGGAGCTCTTGAAGGAGCTCGGGTAGCTGGTGTAACACCACCAGAGGGGGAAAAGCAGAGGGCAAACCCCAGAAGGAGTGACTGAGCTCATCCCCGAGTGGCTGCACAGCTCGGGAACACCTCAGACCTGAGATTCCACAACACACTTTGAGAAGGTTCAACAGCCTGGCAGCACTGGCAGCACTTCACAGACCTGATGATCAGAGTGAGCTGTACAGGCTGAACTGCAATAGCAAAGCACAAGACACACAGACAAGCACTCTTCCCCCTCATCCCCAATGCTTTTATCCCAGGGATGAGTTGAGGCTGCATTTTAAAAACAGAAAACAAGAAGGAAGAGATTTGTATTGAACTCTGTGCAATCTGAACCGACGTGGTAGAGATCAGCTTTAGTTGCTGGTTTCAGCTTAATGCAGATAACAGGGCATGGGGGCTTAAAGGGAAACTAAAGAAAACCCAATTCCAAACAGCCATCAGGAGCCCCAGCCTCCCAGGGGGAACCCCAGCCTCCCAGGGGGGAACCCCAGCCTCCCAGGGGGGAACCCCAGCCTCCCAGGGCAGTGCTTTGGGATCGGTGTAATTCAAGAATCGATTAGATGGCATCCTGGAGGGAGGGGGTATTTGAAAGAAGAAAATAAATTACTGCTGAATCAAACAGCTTTTAGTTGTTCCCAGTCTGTGTTTTGTGTGGTTGATGTGATTCTGTGATTCCAGAGAACAGGAACAGAGCTAAGCAGCAAACCCACACCCACGGTGCACCCACGTGTTCCCGTGCTCCAAGCAGGAGTTTCCTGCAAACTGCTCCTTCTGCACTTTGCTTTGGAGCCTCAGAACAACAACAAACTCCTGTTCTTTATGACATGAGTTTCTGAGTAAGCCCAACATGATTTTACAAGTTTTTGCAAAAGGAATTAATTCGCCTCTTTATTGCTCCTGTGCTGTTCATTCCTACTTTATACACCACTAAAGAGACACCTAGGAAGTTTAAGTGCCTTGGTGAAAAACACATCACTTCTCAAAGACAACCAGGAACCCAAACCAAAGGGCTGGATTTTCTGGCCTGCCTGTTTCTTTAAGCTACCTGTGGACGTTCGGTCAGTTTACATCAGTGTAAAGAACATTTTAATTCATATTTAGATGAATATATAACTGGCAGAGTCAAAGGAGAAAAAAACCCAATCAATAGAAAACTCGTAAGATAGAAATCAGTAAAACACTGAAAAGCCCCTTTACCTGCACAAACTTGGCACTTAAAAAACAAGCTCTCAAAACAATTATTTCTGCAAAAGTTGGAAATCTCAGTTCTCAGAGAGCAAAAAAAAATCAATGATAACTCAGCTCTTCTGTAAACTTAGGCCTGACTCTCAGGAGTGCTATTATAATGCAACATTGTCCAGAAGTCAAACCTCCATCACAAAAAACCCACACAGGCCATTTTCTGGGAAAAGACCAGATCAAATAAATCTTTATTTTCCTAACCTTTGTTAAGTTGCAAGTCTCCTTTTTTGGAAGAAAACTGAACTAACAACCCCTGAATAATCGGGAGCGTTTCAGCCCGAGCGGGGTGCCCAGTGAACACACAGTGCTCATTCAGGGCATATCAAATAACCCCACTGAAAAAAAAATCAGAGCAGGAATCATTCCAAAATATATGTCTGCTTTGCAGAGGGGTTTTGAAATTATTTTTAATTTACCTAATGTCTACACTCAAAATTCTGTATGGCTCTGTATGGAAAAAAAAAAGTGATTCCCTGTGTCCCAGGGATTGAGAGCAGCTTCTGGGGCTAAACTAGGAATAAAAATGTGATGTATTTGACCACATGGCCTTTTGCTGCTCATAAATTTGTTTGTTTCTCTTTGTATAACAACTATTACACTAGCTTTGTTGTGAGCTTATGACTCTGTATGGAAATAACATGCTATTAGCTACCAAAACTGAACCTGTTTGAATTGTTACTATTGTTTGAGAAGGCACAAAACACTTACTCACATATTGGAAAGCACAATGCTTGATTTGCAGTGAGCTCTCCATTCGTCACCCACTCAGTTCTGCTCATTTATGTACCTGTTCTAACACGAAATCAACCAAAGCAGTTTTTTTCCCCAAATGTTTTTTTGTTTTGTTTTTGTTTCAACAGACTGCAAAACACTAGGAGAAAATACTGTGGGAAAGAATTCCCACTTGGTCTCCATGAGAAATGGTCCCTCACATATTTACACACACACACACGCTTAAATCTGTGTTTTCTGGTGAGTTTTGTTCCAATTTAAAGTGGTTAAACAGGCACCTGAGCTGCAGCCCCTGCACGTGCCCGGGCTGCAGGGCAATGCTGGGCAGTTCCACACGATGCCAACAGGGCTGGGAAAGCCAGACCCTGTCCACAACCAGCAGGAAATCATCACCCAGCCCTCAACCTGAGACACCCAACTGCATTTTTGCGACCACTCTCCTTTAACTCTGCAACTGGAGGCAGGACAGTCTCTGGCTTTGACTTTACAGAGATACACCACAGGGCTTTGCTTTTGTTTTTTGATCCACAGCTCCAGGCACCTCTGATACACATCAGGGAAAGAAGAAAACTCCAGCTAGACCCAGCAGCCAACTCACTGGCAAGGCCTTCAAAACAGCCTGATTTTCAGAGCCATTCAGCACCTTCAGCTGTCCTTGAGATGAATGGTTAATGTGAGTGTTAAACAACACTGGAAATCAGAGCACTCATTTGCCAGCATACATCTAAATATAAGTTAAGTGTCTATCTTCAAGCTGCCAAGCCTGATTATTTTTGGCTGGTCCACATAATATACAATCCCATGAATCACTAGATGTAATGCTGCAGGACTGCAGGATTATGTTGGCACAGCTTTACAAAAAGGAGGAAAAATAACACGGTGGTGAATGAGGCGTGTGTTGGGAAAGGGGCTTTGTCTGGGGGACCAGCTCACCTGTAGGGCTGCTCTCCAGTGTGTGTTCGCAGATGCCTTGTCAGGTTTGCTGAGCGTGGGAAGATCTTACCACAGTACCTGGAGAGCAAAAGCCAAAGGAACCATCAGTGCAGGAACCTCCTGCATCCCAGAGCCCTCACACACGGCAGCACCAGCAGCCACGTTCGTGCTGAAACCACTCCCAAAAGCTGGAAACCCCTTTGTGCACTGGGAGCTGAGGGCACCTGTGTCCCCAGGGAGGCAAGAACCAGCAGAGCAACATCCACTCGGAGTAACAGGATCCACAGTGGATAGATCCTGGTGAAACCCCTTTCCACTGGAGACACGGCACAACAGCTGATTCTGCTGCAGCATTGGGAAGGGCAGGAGGAAGAAAAAAAACCCTGTAAGAACATTCAGACCAGCCCCAGATGCTGGTGACTTAGCAGCTTATCCTGGAGGCCTGGGCAGGTCCACAGGAACACAGCAAGGACATAGTGACCAGTACATTCTCCCAGCTTCCATCAGAAGGTGAAGCTCCTTGGTGTGTCCAATACCTTTTTCTGAGTTTCTTCTATTTTCCTCAAGCCTTTCTGAAGGCACGTGAGCTCTGGACATCCCCAACCCCCCAGCAATGAGCTCCTCTGCAGAACCCTGTGGTGTGAAGGCACCTCCTGCCTGTTTGAGTACTCACTGACTGTACTTGACAACCCCTCATTCCTGCACTAGGATAAGGAGTATTTAATTACTGCCCATCCATAACGTCCATCACTTGAGGTTTTTATAAAGCTCCTTTATAACCCTGTTTAGTTATTTATCACACAGAATCTACCTGATCATCCTTCTCTCTTTTTTTTCCTAGATGAATGTTGCATTGAGTCACTGTTATTGGGATACACCACCACATTCTGCTTAGAATAAGGAAATGCAGCAAGAGGAAACCAAATAAGAGAGGGAACTGTGTTCTGCAGTAAAATAAATTCACAGCAAACTAAACAGGACGTGAGGTATAAATAAAAACATTCATTGAGAAATAAAATACTACGGATGAAAGGTTACGTTCTGTGACTATGAAACCTGATGCTTTATGTTGCAAAAGGAACATAAGAACAGACTTTCTTAATGTAAGAGGTACTCAGCACCTTCAGATGCCCCAAAGACGAACAGTTAATGTGTTAATCAGCAATGAAAATCCCAAGCCTGACTTGCCAATGTGTATGTACATATAAGTTAGCCCCTATTATAGGGAAAAACCTCAGATTTCTAAATATTCAACTGAAATGTGAACCCATGGCTGTTGTGGCAAAGCTGAACATAAGGGATACATCAAACAAAATATGTACCCACTCACTGCACCCAAGAAAAATCAGCAGCAGCCACAAGAACCTCGAGCAGTTGCAGGTAAAACTGCACGAGCAGGTGCAGGTTTTTATTCCCCAGTGATCTGCTGCAACAGGAGCTTTTAGAGCTGCAACAGATACATATTTCTGGGGATATTCAGATGCACTGAGCCTGCAAACCTGGCTCAGTGGATGCCAGCTTTCAGCTGGCCTTGTTTGGCAGAGCTGACCTGGGCCACGGCTGAGACAGCCCTGGCACTGGGACTTGGGGCAGTTGCTGCCACACACAAGAGGCCTGGACCCTTCTGCTTGCTTGAGAATCTCCAGAGCTGCTCTTGAGGCCATTACAAATTACAAAGAAAACAGAAGATGCTGATTTTCCTACCAGACAAAACAAGCTATTTCAGAGCAAATTAGTCATCAGGAGGCTCTGTTCTAATTCTGCTGCTCCTTGTTTCCCCTCCTGCCCCTGCCGAGGCGGTGACACGTCCCTGTGGAGCTGCTCTGGCGCACACTGGGGGCTGGTGCGGGTCCCCCTTACCTGTCCCTGGGGGTGCCAGGGCCCTTACCTGTCCCCAGGGGTGCCCAGACCCTCACCTGCAGGTGTAGCGCTCCTTGCCCTTGCGCAGGATGGGGTCGGAGAGCGTGGGGGGCGGCGAGCGGAAGCCGAAGGGGTGATGCGGGAGGGGCTGCAGGGACGTGCCCGTGTCTGCCTTCATGGCCGATATTCAGATGCACTGAGCCTGCAAACCTGGCTCAGTGGATGCCAGCTTTCAGCTGGCCTTGTTTGGCAGAGCTGACCTGGGCCACGGCTGAGACAGCCCTGGCACTGGGACTTGGGGCAGTTGCTGCCACACACAAGAGGCCTGGACCCTTCTGCTTGCTTGAGAATCTCCAGAGCTGCTCTTGAGGCCATTACAAATTACAAAGAAAACAGAAGATGCTGATTTTCCTACCAGACAAAACAAGCTATTTCAGAGCAAATTAGTCATCAGGAGGCTCTGTTCTAATTCTGCTGCTCCTTGTTTCCCCTCCTGCCCCTGCCGAGGCGGTGACACGTCCCTGTGGAGCTGCTCTGGCGCACACTGGGGGCTGGTGCGGGTCCCCCTTACCTGTCCCTGGGGGTGCCAGGGCCCTTACCTGTCCCCAGGGGTGCCCAGACCCTCACCTGCAGGTGTAGCGCTCCTTGCCCTTGCGCAGGATGGGGTCGGAGAGCGTGGGGGGCGGCGAGCGGAAGCCGAAGGGGTGATGCGGGAGGGGCTGCAGGGACGTGCCCGTGTCTGCCTTCATGGCCGCGAAACTCTCCAGCTTCTCCGTCATCGTCTCTATGGCTGACATCTAGGAGGACAAGGCAAGACCTCGGGTCATAAAAACCCGCGGGAAGGAGGACACCCGAGGCACGGGAGGTGCCTCTCGGCGCCCACGTTGGTCCTGGAGTGGAGCCACTGAATCCAGCCATGGAAGGCAGCAATCATGGACAGGGTCAGGGGAAGCAGGAAGGTACCACTGGCAGGACCAGGCAGCAAGCACTGGGACCTCATCCACCTTCTGCCCATCCTCACTTTTCAGCTCTTCAGACTAAACATTATCTCAGGATGCACTTGCTTCCCTTTGCCCAGGGGTGACACTGAGATGAGGCACCGTGGTCAACTGCTGGGTGGCACTCGCCTCCCAAACCCTCCTCTCAACCTGAGCACACAGCCTGGGAGAGCAGGGAGGTTTGATTCCTCATCCAGCATCCATCACCCCCCCAGGCTGGGAGGGACAGCAGCACTGAGCCACGGGCAGGCAGGGTAGAGGACAGAGGGGACAGGGATGTTTCAGGTGGGAGGCTGGAGAATCCTGGCCAAAGCAGAGTGGGAGGGAGCACAGGGGAATGCAAGACTACAGATGAGGGAGCAAAGGAGGAGGAGAGGCTGGAGGGATGGAGAGGGGGCAGCTGAGGAAGAGGAGGAGTTAAGATCAGGCTCAGGATGGAGCGGGTCCCCAGAGATTTGCCTAGTGAAGAGGCCAACATCTTAATTATGTGTAAGGGAGGCTCAGAAGCCAGTAAAGGTGATGAAAGGATGGGTGGGAGATGGCTGAGCTTCCTGGAGTGAGGGGGAATTCCAGTCAAAACACTCCATGAGAGCAGTGGTTGGATGAGTCAGGGTGGGGAGGACCATGGACAGCCCGTGGGGGTGACAGTGCCAGGCACGTGGGACTGGAGATGTGACACCCAATTAAATGTTCTGGGGCCTTCAGCATCTTCAGTTTGTATGACTCAGCAATGGCCACAACCTCACAGAGATACTGGATTAAAGACCACCCCAGAAAGAGGGAGAATGGGAAAAACCCAGAGATATGGGAAAGGGGAAAGTAAAAAAAAGAAAAAAAGTCAGCCTGAGTGCAAAAAAGGATACACATAAAAACACTCCCTAAAGAAACTCACTTTTACTTTCATTAGAGCAAAACAGGAAATCCAAATCTGAGAGAAAAGCAACTCAGAGGACGAGGCTGACATCTCCAAGGTGCAGTTCCATGCACTCTGGAGAGCACTTCCCAGAGAGCGAGCAGAAAACACGGGTAAAACAAACAAGGCAGCAATAAAGCTGCCTCCTCCCTGCCCATGACATCAGGAATGAAGGGAGCACGGGGAGAGGGAAGCAGGAGCCTGGGGCACGGGGGAGAGGAGCCAGGGAGCAGGCGGAAGGCTGTAGGAAGCCATACATCAAACCTGGATGCTCTATTGTACAGGAAGGGCTGACCTTTTGCACGTTTACACTTTATTACACTGGGCTCAGGGTGGGGGGAAAGAGAGCCAAGATATTGTTTAAAATGTATGACTAAAAAAAAAAAAAAAGTGTGGGTTTTTTAATTATTATCTTACAGGTAGATAATGACAATTATAAAGCTCAATTTTTGAAGACAAATGATGAGGATAAAGTCTTAGAAATTTCTGATTTAAAAGCATTTACAAGGTATTCTGTGGTAATCATTGCCTTTACGGGAGATGTCAATGCTGCACTCATTGAAGGCAAGGCTAGTTCTCCAGCCATTGTCTCCACTTTTGAAGCAGGTTTGTATTTTTCTCTGTATGTATCAAACTTTGCAGCCTTCCCTTCATCTGAGAAATAAGAGCTTTGAACAGATGGTGGAGTTCCAATGCAGATTTGTTCTCACAACATTTTTTCTTTAATATTTAATTTAAAATGTATAAAAAAAAAAAAAAAAAAAGTAAAAAAAAAAAGTTGTCTTAATCACCCAAGAATCCATTGTGGAAGGCTGACAACCATTCATAAGCTGTAAAAAAGAGGAGCAGTAAAACCCATTTCCTGATAATAGATCCACGGCCCCTTAGTTGGAGGCTCCCAGCCCATGATAAATAGTAAGTAATACTTAGCAGCAGCCACTTGAAAAGGTTACTTGATCATTTACAGCAAAAGCTCTGCCCCAGCTGCCAGTCATGTAACAAAACCATCATGTTAAAATGCTATCCAGATCTTTCAGAGCTGTGCCACTCAGCCCTGTGCCGGAGTACCTGGAGATAGCTTTTGTTGTGCCCTGTGCTTTAGGCACTTAGTCAGAGATGTTTGCTGGCTTGATAGCCAGGGGCTTATTTTAAAATTCTAAACACCGGCCACAGCCTCTCCAGTGGTAAAGGCACTTTGCTATTTAGGGAACAACTGCCTGCTTATAATAAAAAAGGAGGAGAGAAGAAAAGAAACTTAACAGGTGAGAAAAGGTTTTCCATTAAGTTATCAAAAAGTTACACCATTTATTTATGTTGTCCAGAGTTTCATTTGAAATAGACAATGTTAAGAATAACTTCCACCAGAGCAGAGAAACTACTGTCAGCGATTGACAAAGGAACCAGATTTGCCTAATATTAATTTTGAGAATAAAAGCATCTTCTGAACACTCAGTCTTTATCACACCTTTTGGCTTAATTGCATCCCACCCGGGGCCCTCAGAGCTGGGGAATTATTCACAGAAAAAAGCTCAGTCCAGACTCCTGGTTAGAGGGAAAGAACAGCACAGAGTGTCTTTCTAACTGACCTGGGGTGTGAATGTTGGTCCTAACACAGAAGACAAAAGCAGGAGCCCCTGAAAACCTGGCTTCTTAGATCCAGGATATTGTTGGATGGGCATCTGGCAGTAAAAATCTCACATTTTCTTGAACAAATGGCCTGTATTTGAAACAGCCCCCTGATGACATAGCCTGGGAACAGCAGCTCTGCAGAGCTCTGATCTCCACACAGCACCCTGCTTTCTTCAGAATCAGCTATCAGGAAGTTTCGGGTTTGAGTGATTGTGAACTTCAGGCTATTCTGTGTGATAAGCTATTAGAGATAACCAGACCTTCCACATCTTTTCATTGCCATGGGAAGAGGACGTGGTCAGGATTTCAGGAACAATGTTATTAACCTTCCACCCAATGGTTGCTCCTGCTCAGGGTCTGTACGTTTCTCATCGTCTTGTTGGGTTGCTGTGCCACACTAGCTCCTCCCTGCTATCAGATTCTTTACAGGCAGATATCCCCACTATTCTAACTCACACAAACACAGGATGTTCCTGGCCAGCCTGTCACCATTATCCAGCCTGTATGAAGGAAAAATCAGGGGAAGTTATTAACCAAACTCTGAGGCTGATGTGAAACAATGAGGGAACTAAGTTTAGCTGTGAAAGCAACCAGGATCCAGCTTTCACAAACCTGCAAGTTATTTATCTAAGGTGGGAAACACTATCAGAGGAGAACAATGCATGTGAATATAAAGGAGAGTACAATCAGGACCACAGGGCTCAGCACCCAGCCTGTGCTCACAGCAGGACAGACAGAGGATGGCTGGGGACTGGCACGCTGGGCTGGATGCCAGGCAGAACTCGCTGCATTATCCTTAGGGAGCAGGGAATCCTGAGGGCACAGAGGAACATCACTACTTGGAGAGGTCAGCTATCACATTAGGAGGTCACTGCTGTTACCTGGGGGTGAAAAAGCAGCGGGGAGGGTCGCAGGTATTTCTCCTTGAGGGCACCCACAGGGTCTGTCACCTTCCGCTTCTCCACCCTGCTGGACAACAACACAGAGGGTTACATACCTCACAGGGCTACAGGCAGCACAGACACAGCCCAACCATTTGCAGAGGGGTTTAAATTAGATATATGAGGCTGTTCTCCTATTGATCCAAATGTCTTTCTTCCCCCTCTACTGGACAGCAAAAATCATGACCAGCAACTCACCCCACAAAAGGCACTGGAAACAACACAAAACCAGAGCCTCCCATTTGGGCAATACTTTTTAGCCATCAAACTGACAACCAAGAAAACATTTTGATCTTTCTATGTGAGATCCAATGCTTCTGCTACACTGGTTTCTAAGCTTCTACTGTTGTGAAATGCCCCTACATTTACAGCAAAAGTGTAAGTGGGGGAAGCTCTGGAGTCCACAGCAGGCAGCGACTGCATGGAAAAAAAATGGTCTTGCAGAGTTTGTCTTTATCTTAAGAGTTAACACTAGGCCAGACTTTGCAGCCCCCAGTGTGCTGAAATCATCAGGTGTTTCATATTTATTTCCTCCCTTGCAGCTGAGATACAATTTGCATTGAGTTTCTTTGGCAACCATAAGTGGACAACAATTTACAAAGGAACTGGTGGGAGATTTCTGAAGTGACTTAAGAACCCGAGTTCTCCTGATGCCACTTTGGTCCATTCAAATATTCCACACTTAAGCACCTTGCTGTGCAATCCTAAAGTTGGGCTCCTGTTTCGGAGAACACAGGCTTTTTCATAAAATATTCTACTCGTAGGGAAATGTGGTGTGGAATCGCCAGGAAGAGAAACTGGAATGTTCTCAATGGGAAAGAAATGCTACGGAAGCGACTCCAACAAATGCAGCTGCATCTTTAAATTGCTGGAGCAGAGTCCACCTCAGCTAGACCAGCAGAAATCCAGTAGTAAGAGTAATTTTAACTACATTAGTCCAGCATAAATGAGAGCAAATTATTTTGCTGCATTTCAGCTGATTGGTGTGTGGATCAAATTACCAAAGAGTTTAAAGAAGAGTCATGCAGAGTGCTATTTAGTGAGCTCTATTTAATCTGCATTTAATTTTTCTTGGGTAGAAGCAAAGCAAAGAGCTGGCTTTGAAATGCAGTCAGAATTGCTGTGCTTTGGAAGGTACACGTTTCTATGAGCACGAGCTCCTGGAAAAACAACAATCTGTAAAAACAGATGAAAAGTTTTGCCTTGATCCCAGGTGGAGCAGTGAGAAGCAGTGAGCTCTGTCCTGGCCAGGGGAGCTTCCCCCTCTGACACACAGACATGAGCTGGGATGCTCCAGGGACAGGCAGGGACCACAGTGGCTGCAGGGACAGTCCCACCTGCAGCAAACACCCTGAGCCTCACACAGCTTCACCTTCTCCCCACGCTGGGTAATGAGACCACACCAAACAGCCAGACTTCCTCGTCAGAGCTGAACTCTGCAGCCAGCAGAGGATTAAGCTGATCTTTTCAGCCCAGTGCCTGAGAACGTTACCTTAACGAGGCTGAGCTAAAAACTGCACTGATTTCAGGCTGTCTGGCTGCATTAAATTATATCACCAGGATAAAATGTCAAGGATTTAAGTGGCCTTTGGGAGAAAAATGAAGGAGCCAAATTATGTGAGAGAGTCTGATAAAGAGAAGTTTAGAAACAAAATATTTCCATCATTTTTAAGCTGAGACTTGGAAGCTCTGCTGTTTAGCTCATTACATCAGGAGTCTGATTCACGAGCAGCTCCACCACTGACTTTCTATTTTAATGTATTACTAAAACTATATGCATCCCATGGAATGCAACAAACGATGCCCCCATCCCTCACTTCCATCTGTCTTCTGGACCTTCACGGTTTTCCCGAGCCTGCTATTTTAATTGGCAACGGCTTCTTCAGCCCATGTTGTTTTAACATTCCTACTGAGAATGCCCAGAGGTGGCAGGATCCTAAGCTAACTCAAAGTTTTTGCCTTTCTATCCCATTCATTTACTTATTGCCAGAAGTACTTTTTACAAACCAATCACTTGTGTTTCCCGGAGATGCCCATGGTGGTCACAGACAGAACCCGCGGCACATCCCGGCTGTGATGCAGCCGTTTCCATCACAGATGGTGAGGACGTAGCAAACAGCACCAGCTCGGAGAGGGCTGGTAAAGCCAGAGACACTTTCTGAGCAGCAAGCACCGAGGACTCACTAATCCTCCCCTCAGCTGACAGCTCTCTGGCCTGGGCAGGCACTGACATCATTTGTTCCCACAGTTCTCGAGCGCTTAGCAGCGCGAGGCAGTGACACAGGTGCTGTTCTCTTGGCTGGTGTTTCTAGTCCAGCAAAGGCCACAGTACCCGTGGTTGCTCACAAACCTCTGAACACCCAAGTGACCCATCCAAGTGCTGACATAACCACTCTGTGGTGACCACAAGCCTCTCCAGTCCTAAGAAGCCCCCAGCTCCTGGGGATGTCTGTTCCTTTGGCTGCACACACCAAGCTCACCCAGCACAACAAACCATCCCCTGCCAGGAACAAGCTGCTCCATCAGACACTGGATCTGGGAGCCCTGCAGAAGTTGTGAAGCATCCTGTCCTAAGGGCGTATTAATTGCCATGTCCATGTCTAAATCAAACTGGTTCAGGACAACTTTTCACTGGACTGTGCTACAAACAAGCAGGTGGTGTTTGCTCCAAGACAAACTTCTCACTGGCAGCAGAAGGGCAATGAAGGCAGTGCCAGTGCCCAGACAAGTAATACCCAGACTTACTGGTACCCTCACTTTCAACCTTGAAATAGTTCTCCTTTAGAAACTGATTTTATAAAAAACTCTAAAACAACTAGAATAAAATCTTCCCCCCACATCTTCTGAATTGAATCCTTCAGGAAGTTTAGCTGGTGTTTGCACCCCTTTGTCCACTCAGCTTTACACACACCTTCCCTGCACAGCTCATTCTAGGCCAGACAAAACAAATGGGGCCTTCCTCAAACCACCCATTTCAACTAGAAAACCCTTGTTACCTCTTAAGAAAGGTAAGTCTGCAAGAAATTCATCTGGGAGGAATTCAGATAATAACATGCTACCAGGTATTCACACAGCACTTGTTACTCCAGACCCAAAACTGTTTCGAAAGGCTGGGTCCACAACAGCAGTTCCTATGAGCTGAACAACCCTAAAGAAAAGGAATTACAAAGAAAAAGGAGGGTGGGGAGGAAGAAAGGTGAAGGGGCTCACAAAGGGCCATCAAGTCTGTCAGTGGGAGAGCTGCATTTCCAGGCTCCCAGGACTCATTCCCAAGCCATGAGAGCCCAGGCTGGAGGCAGCTGAACTCTGCATTCTTATCGAATCAAACCTCTGGAATTTCCCCACAGAAGTGCCATCTTAGTGGTGGCTCGTGGGAGAGTCCTTAAATAGGTCAAGTTTCTTCTTTATCAAAACAAAGCCATGTTGTATACACACATTGATTACCAGTACTCCTATCAATGGTTCAGCCCCCTCGATTCAGAAAATTCCATGTGCTGTGACAGCGAGAAGCACAACCAAGTGCAGCATCCACTGCTCCTCCTGAACAACCCACAGCCCCAGGTTCTACCCCAGCCAGAGGGTGAGCTTGTTAGAGGAAAGGCTTAAGGCAGGGTATGTTAATACCTGTAGATGGGGTCCATGAAGAAGGGTGATGGCTTAGCATAATGCAGGGACGGCTGCTGCGGCAGCTGGGACTGGGAAATCTTGGGCAAGACTTCACTGGCCATCAGCTTCCTCTCCCCATAGATGTGGTTTTTCCGTGGCTCTCTTCCCCCGTTCTGGCTGGCGCGGATGCGGTTGCCAATGCTCAGATCCAGGGGCTGCTCTTCTGCTGAGGATGGAGCTGGCAGGACCTTCGGTGGTGGCAAGATTGGCTTCATCTCTTTTGGCTTTGTGGTGAGATCAAAGGGGGACTCGGAGCTGGTGCTGCCCACTTTGTGGAGGTCCCGGGGTGACTTTGGTTCTGCCTTGACCAGCAAGCTGTGATTGAGGGTCCGCTCTGTAAAAGGATAGAGGGAATGGGGGAAATTGGGGAGGAACTGGAAAGGGAACATGGAATGATACGGGAGCGAACCCATCTTTTTCTCCTGCATCCCCATAAAGCCAGGCCCAAAATACTTCTCTGCGATGGAGGCGATGGCTTTAATAGAGTCATTGGCTGCTCCTGTGGAAGGCAGCAGGTGCTCCTCGGGGGGAGGAAAGAAGGAATGCTGAGAATAGAAGAGAGGGATCTCACTGGTGTTGTTGGTGGAACTTGCAGACACGGAGCTGCTGACAAAGTCTGGCTTGCTCTCCATTTGTTTGCTCTTGTCTTTTGTTTTGTCCCTGTCACTCTCTGCATCACTGTCCAGGTCAGAACCAGTGCCAGTCGTGGTGTCCAGGTCTGTGCCTGTGGTTGTATTGACATCCTCAAAGTCACTGCCATCAGACATGTCACTGTTCCTGGCTTTTAGCTTCTCCAGGTAGGAGTTTTCCAGGCTGCTTTCACATTTCTCCTCTCCTGAAGTGGCCTGGTTGCTGTTGCTCACCGCAGAGATCAGAGGAAGTGCCGGGTTCCCGAGGGGGCTTGGAAGCTTTGCATCTTGAGTGTGGTTGAGGGGGCTTTTGAGCAGTTGTGTGGGTGGTAACAAGGGGGGCCTGGGGTAGAGAGACGGTGGGAAAATCCCTGGGAACCCCGGGGTGAGGGCAGGGAAGGCAGGGGGGGCAGGTGAGAACGGAAGACCCCCCGGGTGCGGGCGGGACGGGAAATAATCATTAAATCCCAGGCTGGCATGATTGAGGTTGGGAGAGGGCTTGGATTTGTCCATCATGGAGGTGGGCGTGAGGGGCAGGCCAGGGGCAAAGATGCTGGCAGGGCTGTAATGGTTCTTGCCCTCGCAGAAGCGGCGGTGCTTGTTGAGGGAGGAGGTAGTGCTGAACATCTGCCCGCAGTCCTTGCACTTGATCTGCGTGCGGCAGTCCGCGTGCATCCGCTTGTGCCGGCACAGGTTGGAGAACTGCGTGTAGGATTTGTGACAGACCTCACCTAAAGCATCAACAGAAACCAACCACAACAGCGGTATGAAATTAACAGGAAGCAGCAGGACAGGCCCGAGGAGCCCCCCTCCCTGCCCCCACCGAGCTCCCCATAGACAGGGACAGGCTCCCCAAGGCTCCCACCCCAGGACTAGTCCCACTCTGCTCTCCCACAGAAGCTCTAGCCTGGAGAAACTCTTGACAAGCAGCTCCCTGCAGAACCCAGAGGGGTTTTCTACTCCTGAGCAACCTTTCTTCTTTGGAATTTTCACTGAAGACATTTCAGTGGCAGGACCTATTGGTGGCAGCTGGTCTGCTCCCCCCTGGCTTGGCAGGAAGTTCTGAAGAGAGAAGAACTTTGCCTCATTGAACCCAACCTGCCCTTCATTAATGCCATTAATGATAAGTAACCACTCCATGGGGATGGTCTATAAATACTCTGCCAGCCAGGGCTCAGTTCAGCCAGAAGTGGGGTGAGATCTCCTGTTCATCCAGTTAGTGAGACACCCCAGCAATGCTGAGCTAACACGACACCAGCACTTGCTTTAATGACCTGTAAATACCAAGTTTTCAAAGCATTAATTTTTATGACCTCTTCTGCCCACAGACTTTGCTGGTGGGGAAGGAACGGGGAGAAGTAAGAAAAAAAAAAATCCCACCCAAATTTCTCTATTATCAAAACACTGTAACTTTTTATTATCTGATCCCTCTTTCAACATAGGAATTAGCTCTACTTCTTAGTGAATTAACACACTCCCTCACAGGAGAACTGCTGTTATCACCCTTTTGTAAACATGGAACTGAGTCAAAGAGAAGGAAAGTACATTGTCTGGAGTTGGGCAGGCAAGGACCCAAATCCAGATTCTCCTGACACCCATTTTTTCACTGAGCTGGAGGATGGATCCTTCTTCCCTCCCTCCTTTTACTGACAGACCCCTGCAAGTGTGACTTCCCTGTATTATTTTCTAAATCTGTAGGATTTACATCAGTGCTTGAAAATCAAACGCCTGTCAGGAGAATATTTCACCAGCAGCTCTGAAGATACAAGGGGCAGCACCTTCTATTGAAATTTAAAGCAGAGACTATTAACATTTCACAAATGAGACGTTTCAAACAAGTATCCCAAAGTGCAGTGATTTGTCACTGAAGGGTCTGCTGGTGTCTCGTTGCACTAGGAATTGAACCTGGACTGTCCTTCCTGAGGGGCTTCCAGCCCTTCTGCTCTGGACCAGCTGCAGGCAGGGGCTGGAGGAGGCACAAACAGAAGCAGAGCTAGAAAGTCATCAGAAAAGTTTCAATGTTGGAGTAACAGTATTTTCAAATGAGGACTCCGAAGCCATCCCTAGTTTCTGGCAGTCACCCCTTAAACAACTTGTGTCAGTTCTGAGCTACCACCATTGCCTGCACACACTTCCATGGCTGCTGCACAAATTATTTCAGCTTCCTTAACTTTCTAATTTAGTTTTTTTTACTGCATTTAAAAATGTTTTCTTAAAAAAATACCTAAAGGAAACACATCTCAGTTTCTTTTTCCCTTCCTAACTTTAACTGTCTCCCTTGCCACGTGCCCAGGGATGCCAGATTTGGGTTCAGAAGAAACATACAAGTTCATAAGAAATGGCAAATGTGCTCGAGCAGATTCTGTCCCAACACAGTGCACCTGCTGCCAGTGCTGTGTTTGTGGTGTTTGCCCTGTTGTTACTGTAGGGGTTTGCAAGGTTGCAAAAAGCAAGCTACACTATAGTGAAAAAGACACTGTTACCAAAAAATGGACAGACTCTAGTGCGTGTAACTCCTTGTTAAATATCATATTAATTCCACTTGCAAAAAAAGGGTACTTTTTCGTAACAGTGTGACTTTTGCAACATGGAAATCACTGTTAACAAGCTAAACTATTACCAAAAAATAAGTTACAGTAACAATAAAACCCATTCACTTCTGTAACTGTAACTTTTTTGTAACTAAATTGCACTGTTTGAATAGTCACGCTGCATAAAAAGAAGATTCGCTGCTACAAAGGGTAATGACACTGTTAAAAATTATAATTAAAAAAGGTTACACTGTTTCCATACAGCACAACTTCATGAGCCAACTAGGGACAATAAAAGCAAAGTCTGCAAAGGGGCATAAGGTTCCTTTTTTCCATTTTCCATCCCAGGAAGAGTTCCTAACTACACCTGATCCTGCACAAAACTCCCTAAAGAAAAGTGCGGCAGGTACACGAGCTCACATCATTATTCTAAAATAAGGAAAACTGGAACATTAAAGTCTCCAGTTACACAACAATTCAGTAACTCTGTGTGTTCTGTGCTCTCCCGCTCTTCTGTGTTCTGCACTTAAAAACGTCTAGTTTTATCTTTTTAAAAGCCAAGTATAATATTGTAAAAAACAAACCCACACAGCCCCTCTTCCAGCTCCTGCAGCTCCTAATGGATTCCATGCTCCTGCCTGTGCCTCCCCCCGGCCCATCTGAACCAGGCAGGATCAGTCTCCAGCTGTTTTACACCCTGATTCAGACTGACAACTCCCTAATTCTTATGAGGTGAGAGTGAGGAGATTATGAGAAGAAATCATTCATCTCACTGCAGCGATACTGTGAGATCCCAATTATCTCTTTCATGTGCCCGTCATCCCATGAACGATTGCATCAAAATGAGCAAGAAGAGTATTTTTTCTTCCTCCACTGACACCCATCTGATTATCTCAGGACACGTTAATGAAACGAGTCTCCCAGGACACTCCTGCACACTGTTCCCATTACACCAGCAGGGGGAAAATAAGGGTTCAGTGGCTTCTTTCAGTAACATCAAAGCCTGGGATCAAACCCAGCCCCCGCCCCTCGCTGGAAGCAGACTTGGAGGGGTGTCAGGAAGGAGACCCTCACATGTCTTGGCTTTGTTGTGACAGAAGCCACTTCTCTGGACAGTGATCAAAATGCAATGGGTGCTGTGTCAATTAAAAAAATATACAGCCCTGAGGATGAGATGAATGGCTCTTGGGGGGGGGGAAATGCCCTTTTGGAAACATGCCACTGCAGAGCACACTAAGGACACCCGTAATCTGCTATTTATTTGGGTTCCAACCACTATCTGGATGAAACACACAAGGAACAAAGAAGGGAAAAACTCTTCTTAAAAACCACCTTCATCTCATCTCTGTGACTACTCCAAATTCTTTGCAAACAGCTACAGGATTTGAGGCACCCCTGAAAAACCTTTCGATCAGGCTGTGTCAGCTATTTATTTATGTCACCAACGTGAACATTCAAAAATAATTAAGGGGAAAAAAAAATAGACGAGGGAAAGAAAAGATATAAGAAAATGGCATCACTGGGACTGCTGAGAGGCTCAGCTTTTAACTTGTCAAGAAAGTCAAAAACTGCCATGAATGTTTACTGAAAAAACAGGGAGCATGCAAAAAAAAAAAAAAAAAAGTGGGGGGGGGGAAGGGCTGGAATTTCATCTTGTGCTCTGACCTATAAAATTACAGCGGCTGCTCACAGAGGGACAGCGAGCGCTGGGGGCCCTGCAGGATACGTGCAATTACAGCCAGGGCAGAGCTGGGTGATGGCCATGACAACTTACATATGAAAGGTTTGACAGTGCTGTGGATGTGCTTGTGCTGCTTGAGGCCCGAGGAGGTGGCGAAGGTCTTGCCGCAGTCGGGGCAGGCGTGGGCCCGCGCGCCCACGTGCTGCGAGCGGATGTGGCGCTGGAGGTTGCTGGGGTCGGTGAACACCTGGGAGGGGGGGAAAAAACACCTTCAGGGAGGGAAGGGAAGCAGCAGGAGGAGAGGGAACATGGGAAAAGGTTGGCTCTGCCTTGGGCAGCCTCCCCCCGGGGTGTGTGATGCTCCGGGATCGCTCACCCACACCTGCCCCCGGCTGAGCCCTGTGGGGCCGAGCTGAGCCTGCTGCTCTCCTTGTGGCACCCCATCCCACACCAAGGCTGGGCCACCCAACCACACCCGCATGGGTCACCCGTGTCCCCCCAGCCCCCCTCCCAGGCCAAGGGCACCACGTGCTGCCCCCGTTACCTTCACGCAGTTTTCACATTCAAACCGTTTCCCACTGTCGTGGGACATCTGGTGCCGGATCAGGTTGGATTTCCAGTTGAAGGCCTTGGGACACTGGTCACACTTGTACTCCCGCTCCTCGGTGTGGATCACCATGTGCTGCTCCAGGCTGTGGAGGAGAGACAGCAATAGATAACCAGGCCACCAGCCTGGGGGGTCCCCAGAGCCATGTCCTGCCCTTGGGAAAAGGGGCGAGCGGCACATGGCCCATGGGAGGTGCAGCTGCACCCAAATACCCTTTCTCTTTTTTTTGCCTTTATTTTACAGGTGGACAGTGCCCTGTTCTGCCTCAAAATGTCACTGCGTTCGTGGTATTTTTTATTAAATACCTGAGTCCATCTAACAAGGGGGAAAAGAAAGTTAAAACCGGACCTGACCCTGCAGGTTCTTGAAGGGAAAAATGAGCACTTTGTGACCAGGACTTCCATGGCATCCCCACAGGGAAAGACAAGATATAAGCTGTTGCTGCCCAGACTATCACGTTGCCTTTTCATGGGCACAAAGCCCACAGCTTCCCAGAACACAGCAACTTAACGTTGGAAAGAAACATGATAAGGTGCAAACACATTTCACTTCTAAATGTCAGACATCTTTTATTACTTAACTCGGCAATTTCAACTTCTGCCAACTGGCAGCCTCTCCCAAACCAGGAGGATGATGGCAAACCCCAGTGGCTGCTGGAGCAGGGCCAGGCAGGGATGCAGAGGAAGGCACTGGGTGCCCTCCTGCCCTGTGCCAAAGTGCTGCCCCTGCCCCCCGGCACACAGAGTCCCTGCTGGGCCACCAAACCAGGTGTGACAGCTGTGGGACATCACTGCTGGTGGCACCAGGGCAGGCATGGAGCCTGGGAAACCATTCTGTTGAAGACTGAGTGCTGTAAAGGGGACTGAGCAGGATGGAAACCCTGCACCTCCCTGACCAGTCCTCAGAGCCCAAGGAAGAAAGTGTGTCCTTTGCTGCCTCTGGTGTGGTTTCAAGGGAGATACAAATACTCCTTCTCACTGAGAACTCTGAGGAGAAAACTTTTTAGAAAACCTACTATTGCCCAAAAATCCCCCACGGATCAATATTCCACTATTCCTATGGAACTTTAAACCACTGCTGTATTTTTTATAGGAACATGAAACACCACTGGGAAATCCTGCCAGTCTTCATGCAATGCTGCAGGAGACTGTCACAGCACACAACTCCTGGGCATTTCCAGGGAGCCTGAGGGATTCAGAAAACTAAGGACTGACTCAGCTTTGGCACCATCCTCAGGACCATGCTGCTCTCACCCTCTCCAGACACCCCCAGTGACAGGCACCCCAGTGGGGCTGTGTGCCCACAGGCACCTGACACAGCAGGCACCCACCTGCGTCAGGATGGGGCAGGAGGGACCCGACACCCGGGTCCTTTGGCATTCCAGTGTAGGAATGCAAAGTCTAATTGCACTGCCAACTGACTTGCACTGAAATCTTCCTGCCCTGAGGACATTTGCTGGCACAGGAACAAGAACAGGCAGGTAGAAGGTGCCTTCACCACCAGTGGGTTTGGTGGGACTGCAGCCTGCCCAGCAGCTCAACATGCAGCTCCCAGCAGCCACCAGTTGGCTGCTTCCTCCAAGAACCTCTCCAGTCAGGTAGTTAATATTCAGGAGCATGCCCCTCAGAAACTGCCAACCCACCCATTTTAAAGCAGCAATATTCATTTTGCTAAAGGAATGGTGTTCTTAACACCACCAAATTTTTTACACAGGCAAAGAAATATATATCCTTCATATACATATACCAAAACATGCTCCTGCTAACTGTGATTTATGAGTTTATTTAGTCCAAATATGGACAAACTAATATGCTGTTTAGAGGCAAGTACCTACTGGGATTAGCAAAACACTTATTTATTTAGTCAGCTACTAAATGCTCAATTTCAGTTCCCTAGTGACCCTCTTGATTTGAGCTGTATTAACTTCTGAAAAATTATAAGACCATCTAGGCAGGCTGACTGGGGTGCTCTGTGTTTCAGGAGCTTTCTTGGTGCACAAAATGCAGCAGATTGATGGGGGAGGGAGAGATGTGGCCACTCTGCCAGCTCCCCCAATCCTGCCCGGAATGGGGATGATGCTGACTCTTCCCCTGGCAAAAAAAAAAAACAACCCAAACTTTGTATTATTTGCTTTAAAAACTCCCAACTCAAATCTATGGCAACAATGGCCTGAAAGGCAAAGCAGCCACTGAGCTCAGGAGCCCCCAGCCCAGACTCCAACTTCTTCCAGCCATACAGGTCTGTGGCTACTGACCTGCTGCATCTCCACCCCAACTCTGGGGGAAACACAGGCTCCTAATATTGAACCATGTAAGTCTCATATTGCAAATAAATCAGAAATCTCAATGATCTCTGCTTTAAAGCTGCATTTGATAACCATCACATCACATTCAAAAGATGGAAATTTGCACTTAAAAATTATTGGGACAAAGATTTTTTTTTTTCCCCTTTACAAAACTGCTATTCTTGTTGAGAGTTGCCTTATGATAATACTTGAATAATCATGGCAAATAAAAATAAGAGGAACACTAGACTATCTTCTCATTTTCCTTTTCACATTTCTATTATAAAAATGTTTGGTGAAGACACAATTTTTAAGGAACATTTTATTTCAATAAGACAATTAAAAGAGAACATTTGGTGAGAACAGAATTGTTTTGGTTGCTTCTGCAAGATCAAATAGGAGCTCTTGGCCATGTTAAGTGTTCTTAGCATAACAAGGTCTTTTTATACCCCTGATCTCAAATGACCAAGAATAACAAATAAAAGAAGTCTTCATGCAACTACTGGCAGATACTGCCACTGTTCTCCCTCAGGCCCAGATCATGTGGGAGCAGCTGCTGCAGGGACACTAACCTGATCTACCAACCTGCCTGTCCCAGCCCTGAAAACCTCCCAGGGAATTCAGAAATAACCATTTTGACTTTCTGTTGCCAATAATTTGTGGAGACTTCTACCCATGGGTTACAAACAGCACCACAGAATGTGAAGTCAAGGTGAAACAAAATGTTGCCCAATAGTTAATGGCACAAAAAGGTCCTCAAAATGACTTCCCTGACCCCTATGGAGAAAGGAGGTGGATCCCTGGGGCCACCCAGGGCTGCCCAGCTCGGTGCCACGTTTCCCATCATCAGAGAGGACTGGGCAGGCCAGAGGAGGGGCTGGCAGTTTCCTGGTACCTGTATTTATTGGGGAACATCCTCTCGCAGTCTTTGCACTCGTAGACCTGTCCATCCCCAAGACCTTCCTGCTTGATCTCGTCGCTCAGGGTCTCGTAGAGGGAGCTGACGGCGCTGCAGGTGTATTTCTTGTGCCGCCGCAGCTCCAGCTTGGACTGGAACAGCTCGTCACAGTCCTCACAGCGAAACGTGGGCTCCTCTGCAACACAGAGAGGGGGCTTGGGGCTGGTGGAGCAGGGGCTTCAAGCAACGTTCACCCTGCTCAACACGGGGTTTGTAAAGAGACCGTGCCATGCTGTGTGATGGGTCACAGGGGCAGCCCGGGCAGCCAGGGCCAGCAGGTTGGTGCATGTGAAGTATTAAGAAATAAAAAATCATGAATCACACAACCAGGAGAGATCTTGTTTTCTTGTGTCCTGGTCTCTGCTGGGATGGGGAGACCTACCAGAATGAGCAGATGCACAAAATACTGGGGCTACTTGGGATCATTGCATTTGTTTGCAATGAGGTTTCCTGAAGGCACAACTGAGCTTCTTCTCAAAAGAGGCTGCCAGGAAAACAGGAGCAAACTCATGTAGAGACAGACACTGGGAAAAGCAAACTGCCACAGCACAAGCCTGGAGAAACTCCTTTCTAAGAAAATGTCTTTCTGGTGTTACCATCTGAACTTCTCCTGCACAACTGCAGCAGCACAACCTGCCATGGGACCTGGAGTTCAACACCAGAGCACCACGGAAAAAGGAAGCCAAACTCTTTGTTGTTGTGCTGGGGTTTTCCTTTCTTAAATAAATAAATAAATATCTAATGCACATAATAAATTATTGTAGTCAAGGTCAAACAAATTAAAATGAGGGCAGCTATTATTAAGTTTACAAGGCAGCATCCTGACCATAGTGCCAAGCCAAACAATCAGCTCAGAGCTGTAAATTTTCCAGGAGAACGACCTCTGTGAGGGAGCTGGGACAGCCCTGGGTTCCTGCACCAGCAGCTTCCCAGCCACCTCCTCCCCCTGGACTCTGGGGCTCTGCTCATTTAAAGTTTTATTTTCTTTTTTTTTTTTTCTGACAACTTTCCTTTCCAAAGGAAGGAAAGCTTGTGGTAAAATGCATTAGTCAGAGGCCAGAGTGGAAATCTTCTTCTGAAGGGAGGCAGCCGAGGCTGCTGCTGAGGTGGAGCTGGTCCAGCCCTGGGGTTGCTGCTCTGGGGAAGGGGCTGGAGAGGCACAGGTGGCACTTGTGGGGCTTCTCTGCCAGGGGCCACTCTCTAAACCTTCCCCCCTTCAGCCAACCCGGGGTTTACAATCCCCAAGGCCCTCGTCTGCCCCAGGTTTTGTGCCGTTGCCACCGGTTGGGCTGCGCTTTGGTGCCAGTGCTTGACTGAAGTGTCAGGGTGACAGGAGGGGGAGGGCAGGCAGGCAGGGTCACCCCCCGACTGCCTGTGCTGGGGAGATCCTCTCCCCTCCTTCTCTCCCCACAGCCCGATGCTCAGCCCCGGGCTGTGGTTTTCCACCCGTGCTGTGGTTTTCCACCCGTGCCCCTGCACAACCGGCCTCTGGGGACAGACAGATCCCCGCAGTGACCCACGGGGGCAGGTGACACCCCGAGCCTCACACCCACATGGAAAGCACCAAGGTGGGAAAAGCCAAAGGCAGCTAAAATAAGACAATATCATGAAGACACAGGCAGCCAGGCTTGCTGCTTGCCCAGGCAGCAGGTCCAGTGGTGCTCTGCCCCGTTTGCACAAGGAATGGATGAAACACAGAGATGCTGGAGGGTTTCCCAGACTGCAGAAGAGAGGGATGTGAAAAGAAGTAAAATCCAGCAGGTCAGCTTTTTCCTTTTGGAGGTGAAAGGAATTTTTATTAAAAAAAGAAGACCTAAGGGAAGAAAAAGCCCATATCTTTCCCATTTCAAGATTGTATGCTCTGAAACAGCCATCAGCAGCCTCACAACAAAGTGGATCAGGCCCTGAGAAATCCTGTTTACCAGCACTTTGCAGAACAGTACCAATATGTATCATGTGGTTTATGTCCCTGGAGGAGGAAACCTGGAAATTGGGATAGAAAAAACTACCTAGCAGTATTGACAGGCCGTGTACAACCTGCTAGTAAAATAAGCCAAACTACTGTTTTGGGGGAGGGCAAAGAGAAAAGAAATAAAATGGAGAACTGCAGCATCCCCTTGTGTCTTGGCATTGCATTATGCTTGTGCCAGCAGCTGGGGCTGCCCAGAACAACTCAGCATTTCATCTGCACGTCTGTGGACTGAAGACATCCCTGCTGTGACAGCACCAGGTGGGGGGGCCAGGGCTGTGAGTTGGTGTGTTTTGGTACCTTCCCCAGCGCAGGGATCACCCCAGGCCACCTCTCCTCTCTCTTCCTGCATTCACCTGAGCTCAGGCCCTCTGCAGCAAGTGTTTAGCTGCTACAAAGTTGGCTGGTCTGATGCCAGGCTGTGCTCCCAAGTGCTGCTGGCATCAAGGAACGTGATCTCATTTCAGCTCTATGTTTGCAGACCTGCATGGGACTGCAGCTCGTTCAGGTCCTGCAGCCCACTGACCTGTGCAGTAACGGGATAAACCCCTCCGTGGCTCCAGAGGAGGTGGAACTGCACTGGGGAGAGGCTCCTCCACCTCAGAACTCACCCCTCAAAACAGACCTTTCCCCTCCTGGCTGTTGGGGAGCGTGGGGACACTGCTGGCCAGCAGCTCGTCTGTCGCAGGGACAAGAGCCCGAGGACAAGGGGCCCTGGGGACCCTCACACACCAGACAAAGCTCCTGCCAAACTCTCAGAATCAATCAAGCTCCAACTGGCAGCTCCCCAGACCTGAACACTTGGAACACAGGACACAGGTTTTTGGGATTATTTTTTTTTTCTTTTGTTTTGCTTGACTTCAGAGAGAAAGCACCCAAATACCTGCTGCCAACCCATACTAAATTCTTCCTACTTCAGTTTGAGATTTACAGATTGATCATATCTTATTTCACCCAACCTCCCCTCCAGGAACCAGAAATCCACTTCCAGTTTAGAAAATGAGCCATGCAGGATAATTTATCATGCACCTGGGCAAAGATGAACAGCTCACAGGCCCCCAAGCCCACATGCCACTACCTTCCATTATCCACAAAACTGTTTTTGTCCTTCCTGGGAGATTACAGAGTAGACAGATGAACTACGTTAATAGCCCCAGTAATAACTGTTAGAGTAGAGATTTTGCTTCTAATTCTCCTTGTCCTTTGTCAGCAGGATCACAAACCTCACAGAAATCCCAGACAATATAACGTGATCCTGGGGCAGCAGGAGCTGGCAGAGCTCTGGGCACAGCAGCTCCAGCAGACTTCTACTGAGAAATGTAAGAAACCAGACAGCTCAGCTGAGACACGTGCATTTTTGGCCTGGGCATTTGCATGCTTGGAGAGCCACCCACTTCCCAGCTCTAGCCCTTGCACATCACTAAATCTAAAAAAATCCCCATTTTATACAGGCTGGTGCTTCAGTAACAGCCACGTTCCTGTTCATGCATCAAACACAACAGCCTCTTCACAGAGAGAAAAGATGGATGATAAGAAATGTAAGGGCCTCAGAATGTTGGGGTTTGGAATAGGGATTTTTTTATGAAAAGAAGAATTAGAGAACTGACAAAAATACAGTTGAAAGCCTTGGAGTCACACGTTACACGTGTCACCACTGCCTGCAAATACTACTTGGTTGCTCAGACAAGTTACACACAGGAGGAACTGGCTGGCAGAGGAGCTGATTGTATTGTACCAAGATCCATTCCTATTTCTGAACATCAGAAGATTAGAGATTCAGTTCTCAATAAATAGTGCAGCAGGGAAGGGACCTGACCTGCAGATGAAGGACCCAGCCATCACCCTGCAAAAATGAAACCCCAGGGACAAAGAAGGCTCAGGGCTGAGCTAAAACAACCTCGTATCTGTTGTGTGTCTTTATATCAGACACCCAGTTGGGAGACTTCAGGTTCATTAGAGTTCTGTTTTTTTCCTTCTCTAAGCACTAAAAATTAAAATATTGCCCTTCAAAACAAGTTCTCATTAAAGTTTCCTTCTCTCTCTAAGCACCAGGAGTAAGAATGCTGCCCTCCACAAAAGGTTACTGCTTCAGTACCTTACAGGGAGAAGGGGATAAAAAGAAAAGAAAAACCCAGTTACAAAAAAAATTGCTGCCTGTTCTGTGTCTTGTTTGTCAAATCTATGGTTATACGTGTCTATCTTAAGTTCCATCAGTAACACTCAGGACAATGCAACAGAAAAATAAATCAGTGCCTAATAGCTTTCAGAGAAACCGAGGGGAACACAATTATGTGGCATCTACATGCTAATCTACCAGACTTGAATCTCAAAGGAGTTCAAGTGCCCTACTCAAAATTCCTGCAGTGATAAGGGGTCTGCTGTGTTTGGCTGGGGCTTGGATAAAAGATTTTTATGATAATTATCTTTGTGTGGAACAATTTTGCATTTTCTTTCTTGTTAATTCAGACTCGAGCTGGGGGTGCGAGGCAGCAGGAAGATAGCATTACTGCAAGTAAAAAGTATTAAGGAGTCAAATATTTAATGTTGGCCTATTATAATTTGAAGGCAATTATGTGGCAAAAGCACTAGACATTGCCAGGAAGATACAGATAAATGTTACATAATGACAAAGATGGAAAACAAGGAGCACTTTTGGCTTGTTCAAATGAAACCCTATTAGGAACAGAAATGCAAAACAGAGGTGAGTTTTCCTTCTGATTTCTCCCTGACATAGTAATAATAATTAAAAAAAAAAGGTTCTGTGTTATTCCATCATTGTGCGCACAGAAATTATTCATCTTTGTGTGTTGATCTCAAGAAAGTGACTTTTTTTTTTTTAATCACCAGAAAAATAATCCCAGACCTAACATTAAGCTCCCACCCTGCCTGTTCCTTCACCTCAGTCACAGACCTTCAGCAAAAGAGTTTCCAGAAGCATCAGTTCTCAAACTACCCCCTTTTTTTTTTTTCAGAAATACTTCAAGCTAATTGTGCATATTGCACATACACTCTTAAGAGTTCCACTGCTGATTGGAATCATATACAGGTAAAATAAAATAAGTGTATTGCAGGTTGTCCAGGTGAGACAACCCAAATTTCAGTGGTTACGTAGAACAGTATTTCTAAATAATAGTTTAAAAGCAACTGGTAGATGAGAATATATTTATAGAAATCAGTTTTCAAATAATAATGTGAAACCTGCAACAGGCTCCAAAGTCAATGAATGGACAGAAAAAGGCATCAGTAACAGGCCCAAATAATCTCTTCACTTCAGAAAATTCATGGAACTTTTCTGTTGTTCTCTAACACCAAATGTCAAGGAAACCAAGAACCCCAGAAGACAGAGCAGAACTTGGCAAGTCCAGCCTGGGTTTCATTTCATGTCAGGAACCCCACATACTGCACCTGAGGTTGGGTTCCTGCAATGCTCCATCAGAGGGGTTTGTGCTCAGGAAGAGGTCTGGACTTGCCAACAGCCATTTTTAAAAAAGAACTTGTACAATTTTCTCTTACTCTGGACACGTCTGCACTGTTCCCTTGGTTTTATATGATTTCTGGGAATGGTGCAGCACACCTTCCCTAGTGTTCCTAAGAGGGCACTCACTGCACAGTGTTTGCTCTGTCCAGCAGGGTCTCCTGCAAGGAAAATGCTGGGATGCCAGGACACCAGGACTCACTCTCAGATGAATGTTGAGAAAAGCACCCTAACAGAGGGGAAAAATCCTGGGGACCCTCAGATTGACAGAATATTTCAGGCTGCATCTCTTGCTAAACTGCTGCCCCATCCTGACAAGAGCCAGTGGCAGCTACTGGAGGGAACATGCAAGGACCCAGCCCTGAGTGAGTGGGTGAGCAGCATCTTGTCCCCAGGGAATGTGCCAGCCTGTCCCCAGGGAATGTGCCTCCCAACACCTCCCAACCACCTCTGCAGTGATTCAGCCCAGTCTGTGCTCCCTTCCCCTGAGCCAGGCCTGTAATCTTACTGTAGGAATTCTGGTTGTGCTTCCTCTGCAGCACCAAACGTTCCTGGTTCTTTGTGAAACAAAAGCTGAAGCCAAAGCTTCCAACAGCCAGACAGACTGACAAGCAGAAAGCTCCACTCTGCTTCTTATTGAATAGGTAAGTACTTCACAGCCATCCTTGTGCAGCATGAAAAGGGAAGGAGGACTCCAACACTTCTCTTTCTCTTCCACTCCCTGCCTGGATCCCCCTTTTCTGTGTAACCTCAAGCCCTACAGACCAGTGCTGTACAAGCCTTGGAATGGTTTGGCCCATGTTTATCACACCCCAAAACCACAGTGACCCTGGGTATGAAATGATGCTCAAAATCACAATGTCCTTCAAAGAGAAGCAACAAATTAACCTGCTGCATGCCTTCAGGTTAATAAAACGTGCTCACTCTCATTGACTAAGACAGTTACTTTCACCAGAGAAGGAGGAAAAACAAGCATAAAATATTAACAGTTACAGCAGAGACAGATACCAGAGCAGGTTTTTGTCCCAGTTCAGCACGAACTGAGGATCTCAACGTTCCTGCTTTGCTGTAAGAGGTACAAAAAGGTCCTACCTGGCAGGAGCAGGCCTTACCTTCCATGCTGGGTGCCATGTTCCCAAGGGAATAACCACCTTCCTTCAAATACACCAAGAGCTCTTCTCCTGGCTCAATTTCTTTAATAACTTTATAATAGATCTGGGAATCAGAAACAAAAATTGAGAGACATGTTAAATATGCAAAGACTTGCATTTACATTTTAACCAATAACACAGATTATTGCAGCTAACAGGGGAAGTTGTCACTTGATTGGTGCAGTAATTGCTACTGAGAGCTCTGTTTTCCTGCCTTTATTTTACCCCAAGTGTGTCAGTGTTTCACAGGGCTTGGACAATGAACCAGTATTTACAGTAACAGCCTCTCTCCTTCAAATTACAGAAAATCTTCCCATTGTTTTCCCTGCCTCCTATAATTTCATGCATTTGTAATAGCAAAGATGAAACTGGTGGCATCGACACGTTAAGGTCTCTGCTTCTCCAAGCAGAAACTGGTCTGATGATCAAAGCTGAATCAGCACATCCTCACAGAACTCTGGTGTAGGTGACTCCCACCAGGGCCTGAGGACCTGACCCCTGAAGCCAAGACCTGAACCATTCCAGGTGAGCTGTTTCTCCCCATCCTGAGCTCCTGCCCACACGAGGAACCCGGACCTTCTGACACGGCCTGAGTGCAGAACCACCCACCCACCAGACCTGTCATTAACACCCTAGAACAGATCCACCCCAAGGCAGGGACCCTCCAGCTCACCCCCTGCTCACAGGGCCCCTCAGAGGGCACAGAGCACGATTTACAAGATGCCTGGGTTAGGGTTAGGATGCCACAGGTGCCCTGGGCCCAGAGCAGCCCTGCTGCTCACAAACTGCTGCAGGGAAGAGAAACCCCCTTCCCCGCGGTGCAACGAAGTGCAGGGCTCCCATGTACCCGGGTGTGTTTCACACACACCTCACACTCCCCCTTACTGTTTGACCCCCCGAACCAAACGCAAACCAAGCTTTATTCCCACTGCCTCGACCAGCAGAGCACGAAACCCTTCAGGAGATCAGCCCCGGGTTACCCAGCCCCGCTCCCTGCCCAGGGCTCTGCTGATCTGCTGCTGGGAACACGGGGAACACGGAACTCCTGAACACTACGAGGTGTTTTCCTCCCCAGAGCCTCCTTCCCTCCTCCCCCCGGGCCGCAGAGCCCTGGGCAGCCGCAGCTTCCCGGGCTCCGGTCCCTCCCGGGGTCCCGTCCCCCCCCGCAC